TATAAATATCCCAACCCATAGACTGTACAACACCCAGAGTGAACTGTAATGTAAACTGTGGACCTGGGATGGTAATGATGTGTCCATATAGGTTCTTCATTGCAACAAATGTACCACTCTGGCAGGGGATGTTGATAACTGGGGAGGCTGTGCATGTGTGGGGTCAGGGACTATGTGGGAAATCCCTCTACCTTCCCCTCAATTTTGCTGTGAACCTAAAATTTCTCTAAAAAAATAAAGTCATATACATATATATTCAGGAAAATATTGAAAATAAGAGTGGTCAGATAGAATCAATTAGGGGGAAATCCATCTGTTTCAGATGGCTCAGAGAAAATCATTCCAATGGGAAGGGGATGCTGTTGATTTGTAATAAAATCAGGCCCAGGAAACAGGCAGAAGGTCCTTTACTAAAACAGTTGCAGGGATATTAATTAGCAAGGAATATATTTTTAGAAAAAAATTAATATACTGAAATGATAATGATTACAACTAACATTTACTGAGTGCTAACTACATGCTTTTTACATGAAGTGGTTTAATGCTTACAAGCACTAATGATGTAGGTACTATTATTATACCCATTTTACAGATGAGGTAACTGAGGTAGCAAGAGACTAAGTACTTAGCTCAAGGTCATATTCAAGAGCCTGCTTTTTAACCAATTAGAGAGTCATGAAAAGGAGCGCTGGCATTGCGGCTAGCCTGTCTTCATTCTGTTCCCACCAGAGCCCCCTGCACTAAGGTACTTGCTGCTTTCATTGTTCAACTAGCCTTTGGATGAACCCCTTCAAGACAAAGTTAGTAGACATCCTATTTATGTGAAGTTATATTTTTATGAAACTTCTTTTATCCCTTGGTTCCAGAGTGGCTTTATGTTCCCCTTCCTCATTTTGCAAATTAGAGTTTGGAGTGGGGAAGGGAGAATGTACAGCAAGTCAGGATGTTATAACAGTTCCTGATGATTACAATGATTATGAGTTAATTTAGAAAAATTTTAGTAGCATAATAAAAACACTAATTTGAGGGTTCAAACAAATAGTAATTGCATTTATTATTATTCTGTAAAAGTAAGTTAGGAGTTGACCAAGGAGGAAAGAGCTCAGAATATCTGCATGAGAAAGCCAGCATTGTAGAAGGCACTACGGAAAAATACTGCATTGGTACCTCAATAAAAAGTCATGTTCCAAGACATCCTGATTTGTGGGTTGCCTGAGAGCTTGCTATGGACCTGAAAGGCAACATACGACAAGGGACCCTGAGTCCAAAGAGTACAAACTGATAAGATATCAGGCCCTTTTCCTGGGGGTAAGTATAGAACACCTGCCTGAACAGAAATATTCAAAATGTCCAAACAAAAGAAATAGCAATGCACTGTAGCGAGGTTGCAACACTCCTTCCTCCCTAGAACATACCGACCTAGGAAACCAGCTTTTCTCTCATCTTCAAGGGTAATGTACTGCAACTCAAGTCTTCTCTCTTATCACTCAGTAAACTCACCACACACTGGCAACCACAAACTGATGTACAGTTTTGTAGAAAAGCATGGATTTGATTGCTCATTTGTGTTTGGGTGTGTAGGTGCTTTTGTGCATAAGAGGGAAAAAGAAAACAGATAAAACTTAGTGATAAGAATATTCACACAAATCTGAGGGTTTTTTTAATCGTGGTAAAAAAGGCATAACACAAAATTTACCACATTAACCATTTTTAAGTGTACAGTTAAGTAGTGGTGAGAATATCCACATTGTTGTGCAACAGATCTGCAGAACTTTTTCGTCCTGCAGAACTGAAACTCTATATATTAAGCAACAAATCTCCTTTTCTCCCCTCCCTTTTTTTTGCCCCTGGCAAATACAATTCTACTTTCTGTCTCTATGAACTTGACTACTTTAGATACCTCATATAAATGGAATCACATAGTATTTTGTCTTTTTATGACTGGCTTATTTCACTTAGCATAATGTCCTTAAGGTTCATCTTTGTTGTAATATATGTCAGAATTTCCTTCCTTTTTAAGGTTGAATAATATTCCATTGTGTATAGAGACCACATTTTGTTTATCCATTTGTCTGCAGATGGACATTTGGGTTCCTTCCACGTCTTGGCTATTGTGAATAATACTGCTATGAACACAGGTGTGCAAATATCTCTTCGAGATCCTGCTTTCAATTCTTTTGAGTATTTACCCAGCACTGGAATAGCTGGATCATATGGTAGCTCTATTCTTAATTTTTTGAGGAACTGCCATACTGTTTTCCATAGTAGTTCTGAGTTGTGTTTAATATTTGCACTCAGAGATCTCATGCCTACATGTTAGTTCTTTAATTTGAGAAGAGGAGGAAAAGAAAAAAGAAAGAACGAGGCAGTTGGAGCCCCTCTCTGGCTAGGGCGTCTTTCTCCACTCGAGGCCTCTCCTCCCCTCAAGTACAGCTTCCCCTTTCTGGTCTGCTCCCGTCCTTTCTTTCCTGCTGCCCAATGCCGAAAGCCACGGTCCCCTGATGGCGCCATACTCCGAGCCAGAACAATGGCTCCCAAGTAAACGTCCATAGATAACCCTTGGACCCTGTGAATGTGTTATGGCACATGACAAAAGGGACTTTGCAGATGTAATTCCAGATCTTAAAATAAGGGAAATTATCTTGAATTATGTAGGTGGGCCCAATCTAATCATGTACATACTTAAAAGCAGAGCACTGTCTCCAGCTGAAGGAAGAAGAGGTTGGCAGAAGAGAGCTGCCCCAGAAGGGAAAGCCAGAGACACAGCAAACGTGAGGAGGATTCGATGCACTGTTGCTCGTTTGAGATGTGAGCGGCCACGCACAAGGACTGGCAGAGGCCTCTAGGAGACAAGCACAGTCCCCGCTGACGGCCAGCCAGGAACTCAGTCTCACAAACACAAGGAACCAAATTTTGCCAACAACCTAAATATGCTCAGAGGTGGATTTTTCTCAAAGTCTCCAGAAAGGAACACAGCCAACTCCTTGATTTTAGTGGCGTGAGACCCATTTCAGGCTTCTAACACACAGAACTGTGAGCTAATAAATGGGTGTTGTTTTAAGCTGCTGAATTGGTGGTAATTGGTTATGGTGGCAATGGGAAACTAACACACCCTCTCTCACACTCACTTGGCTCTCTCCCAGTGCTTCAGGAATGTAAGCCTGACCAACTAACTCCATGTCAATATACTAATGGACAACGGCGAGAGGGAGACTAATTTTTTTTTTAACACCAGCATTTTGGAGAGATGCTTTTTTTCATCTGACTACTAGATGTCCATAACGGCAGCAGGAATTTCAGACCTGGAAAGAGGGGAGAAGAGCCTCCTGGCCAGCGGTAAGGGAATAATTTGGGGCCAAAGCCTTACAAACAGCCACCTCCTACCGACACCACCCATACCAAGGGCTGGTCACATCTCCATACAAGCTGTTCTTTACACCTCCCTGCCCCTTACTTATACAATATAATATATGTTCCTCGTTAAAAAAAAATCAGAGCACAGTCTTTACGTATATATATGTTTCTTTTTTTAAACAGACTCACTCTGTATACATGATTCCGTATCCTGAGTTTTCCATTGATTAATATATCTTTGGACATTTTCTTATGTCAGTATATATAGAGCTGATCCACTTTATCCTCATTCTTTTTTTGGGGAGGCAGGAAGATTAGCTCTGAGCTAACATCTGTGCCCATCTTCCTCTATTTCATATGTGGGATGCCTGCCACAGCATGGCTTGACAAGCGGTGCGTAGGTCCCCACTCAGGATCAGAACCCTCAAACCCCGGGCCGCCGAAGCGGATGGCGCCAACTGAACCACTACACCATCGAGCCAGCCCCTAGCTTCTTTCTTTTTAATGATCACATAAAAATGATTATGTTACAAATGGGTTATTTATTAATTTTATACCCCACGGATGGCCTTTATGCCGTCTGCATATTTTCACTAATACAAATGAATGTCCTTAGGCCCATATTTTTATGCAAGTATATCTGTATGCTAAATACCCAGAAGTAGAATTAGTGGGTATAAGGGGGTGGGCATTAAACATTGATAGATATTGCCAAAATACCATCCAAAAGTGTGCCAGGTTTATTCTCCCATGAACAGAGGATGACAGCACCTGTCTGACACACATCCTCTGCAAAACTGGTCTTACTACATTTTTTTCATCTTTATCAATTTCTTAAGTAGAAAATGGTTTCTCATTGTGTTAGTTACATTTCTTTAATTCTCAGTGAGGTGCGGCATCTTTTCATAAGTTTATTGAACATTTATAATTCTTCTCATGTCCTATTCATGTCCCTTGCAAATTTTTCCATCAAGTTCATTTTTCTTATTGATTTATTCAAGTTATTTGTATGTTAAGGAATGGTCTTTTGTCTGATGTGCTGTAAATATTTTCCCCTGTGGGTTGTCTTCTGACTCTACTAATAGTATTGTTTGCTGTCATGAATTATAAATTTATATGTAGTTAAGTAGATCAATATTCTTCTTTTAGGCTTTTGGTTTGTGTCATGGTTGTAAGCATCTTCCCCATCCCAAGATTATTTTTAAAATTCACCCATATTCCATCTCTTTCCTTTCAGCATTTTATGCATCTGAAATTTATTTTAATGTGAGAAGGGAGAAGGAATACAGATTTAATTTTTTCAAACGGCTAGAAGTTTTCCTAACATTATTTGTTGAATAAGCCATCTTTTCTTCTCTGATAGTAAATGTCATCTTCATCATATAAAAAATTCCCAAATCATATAGTAAATTTATTCTCTGTTATTGCCCTCTATGCTTTGGTGTCATCACAAATTACTTTAATCATGTACCTTTACATTTTTATTTTTTATTATTTTTAGACATCCTCTAGCTTTTTTGGCATGTTAATGTTTTCTGATGGACCTTTTTATCAATTTTGAAAAATTTTTTCTTGCTATTTTGATTTTCTGTATTTTGATTTGACTCAGATATGTTCTTGTGTATGAAGGCTTGGTTTTTACTTACCCAGAGAGATGCCATGGTGTTCCACCTTTGCCTTGACTTGAGATCACACTAACCTACTAAAAGAAGAAATTACCAAACGGTAATATCTGTGATTCAGAACACAACAATCTCAGACCAACCCTTAATCTTTCATGTAGAAAACAGAAGTCAACATTCAAAGAGAAACTGTCCTAGGAAGAGGATGTGTTTCTAACCTCTAGTACCCCGTTTGCTAAACAATATTTGCTGAGCACCTGCAATATACAAGGGACTGTGCTGGACTTGTGACAGGCTCAAAACAAGAAAGAAAAAGGTCTCAGTAGGTAAGGGGCTTACAAATACGTTTCCCGGAAAGCCAATTTTTGACTCATTGAAAATCCAGTAGAACTATGCTGATTGCTGACTTCTTTTAACCAGAACAGACTACCATCATAGGGAACAAACAACAAAACACAGGAAATTGCCCCCACTCCTTAACAGAAATTTTAGCTGGCTTCAATTTGATTCCTTGCGTTTGACTGTGAAACCTCTGCTTACATGTTACAAGGCTCCAAGCCTGCAGCCTGTTATACACAGACACGCTTCTTCTTTAGGAAGATGGTCCAGTCCTTGGTAGGGCCCAGAGGTGAAACGTGCAATTCTTTGATGGAGCCCTGACTGGGAACTAGGCACACTTTCCATAAGCAGATATTATTCAAACATGCTGGCATATCTCCAGGTTTGATTTAGAAATGCAAGTTGCTCCCACCCACCCTGGGAACAAAATATTCTAAAAATTCAATGATAGCCCCAGAGCAAAGTTCAACAGGAAATTACACTGTTAGCCCCTGGAAATATTTAGCCCTGATTTTCTCAGACTCTCCTAGCCTGGGGCAGTCGGCTCTCTAGTTAGAGTCTAACACTACATCCCTCTATATACACAGTGGATACAAGGTATCACTAGTTCTGGTTTTGCCTTTTAAAGCTAGGTACAATTTCTCTGAGCCTCAGTTTCCTCCTCTGTAAAAAGAGGAGAAGAGGTCTGTCTCTGGCATTAAATGTAATAATACGTATAATAATATCAGCTAGTGTCTTGAGTTCTTATTATGTGCCAGGTAGTATTAAAAACACTAGAAGGTCAGTTCTACAAGACTAGAGATTTTTATCATGTTTGTTCACTGGAGAATAGAAGGTACAAAAAAAATACTTATAGAATGAGTGATTTAACATAAGCGTCACGATAATCTAGGGAGCTAAGTATCATTAATAACACCTCCACTTTGCACATGAAGAAGCTAGGGCACAGAGAGGTACAATAATGTTCCAGTCACACAGCGAGTGAGTGTCCGCCTCCCAAATCTAGGCAGCCATACTCCAAAGGTATGAATTTAACCCCCAGGCTTCTGCCTTACCCAAACGCCTGGGCCACACATCTTCAAAGCTGATGTGCACTATGTGTTGATCCAGTATAATTTGTAAATTATTACTGATTTAATTTTTAAGAAGTAAAGAATTACTCCACAGTGGAGGCCAAATGACCTAACAATAGAACTTGAAACATCCATTTCTGAAAGGACTAATTCCTTTCCTTTCCTTCCTCCTGCATCCCTTTTCTCAACAGATTTCTCTATACAACCACTTGGCTCTGGGAACGAGGTTCTGGTTTTCTTTACCTCTTTGAATTTCCCTTCTCATCAGTTTGAAGTTTTCTGCCTTCATGAAAGCCGATGGCGATATCTTTATAGAATAACGTTTTAATGAGTTACGTTTTTTATGATGTTGATTTTTAAAAAGTTGCAAATGTAGCTCTCCCTTAGGACAGAGTCTTGTTGTCTGTGTAGAACACAAATTCCTGGAAAGAATTTAGCTCCAGAGGTGTAACTTCCTGGCAGCAGCCAGAGGGGCCTCCAGAAACTCCTAGATCCGGTGTGTAGGGCCTGGGCCTTACTTGCTCAGCAAAAGCCCACAAGCCCATTGCAACGATGTGTCCTTCTGGCTCCCTTTCGGGCAGGACGCCCGGCTGCCGGGATTTGCAACAATCCAGGGCCCGGCCAGCCCGGATCTTACCTTATCTCACTTAAAGATCATCACATCTTAAAGGGACACAGCCCCTCCACGTGAACTACGGTTCCTGGGAATGCTGGTTGTACCAGGGACAGCCCTTCTTGGCAAGCATATAGCCTTTGTGTCTCCTGCCTATATAAGCAACCCCCTCCCCGCCCGCGGTTGCGGGTGCACGCTGCTGTCCAGCCGGCCGCCATTGGACCTCCCTGTAAGTAACTCCCAATAAACCTCTGTGTCTCCTTGGCTGTCTCGGGGTCTTTTCTTCGGTCTCTCCGCAGACTATCCCACACTGCTCACCCAAGTGGACGTGCGGCCAGACACGGTGGGAACTACAATTTCCTACATATGGTCATCATTTGCAATCAAGTACTCAGATCCCTGCTGACTCAACGCCAGGGGAATGATTCACGTCTAGTGAATCGGACTCTGTTGCAATCAAAGAAAAAGGTGAGTCTTTTCAAGGAAAAGCAAAATTCTCGGACTCCCAACGCCCAATATTTAAATTCACTATTCTTCTACCGCCTAAAAAAAATTAAGTGAAATAAAATTAATTGCCGATGTGAGGAGGAGAACGTGCTCACAAGGATGGGTGGGGTTCCAAGTCCTTAGAACCGAGCTCGGAGCCAGCCCATCCCGAGACGCCAGGGACCCAGTGGACCATTCCGACTCCCTGCTCTTTTTCTGTCCATAGACCTTTAGGATTGAGGAGGCGGAGATGGCTAGCTGGATCCCTACGCTGCTAGCTGTGATGAAAAGTGGAGGGTCTGGGGCTCCTGGGGAGCTGGGTGTCAGCCAGCGGCCCCCCCCCCAACCATAGCTGGGCGACTCTTCCAGGGTACGGCACTTTAGCTCCCCTGGGCCTCAGTTTCCTCGATCCTGAAATGGGGGACGTGGATTCTATGCCCGCTGAGGTCCCTCGGGCCCTGACCCGCACAGCTGGGTTGTTGTGCGGTGTGGGCGCCAGCCCGGCCCCGCCCGGGGACTGAGCCGCGCTCGGGGGGGTGGGCGAGGCGCGCCGAACTTACCCCAGAGTGCGGCCGCGGGGAACGCGTGTGCGGGAGAGGCCCGAGCGAGGGTGCGCGCCCCGGACGCTGGTGCTCCGGTGCCTGGCCGGCGACCGCGCCCCTTCCTGCTGCCCCTCCTCCGGCCTCCTGACGCCGCCTGATCGCAGCCGGAGGCCGGGGAAAGGGAAGCCGCGCCCCTTGGCCGCTGGGCTCCAGTGCTGCACACCCGCGCCCCCGGCTCTCCTCCCTCCCGGGTCTCGAAACTTTCCCAGCCTCGTCTCCCATCATCCTCATAGAAACTTATTTTCTCTCTTTTCATTTCTCCTTCACTTACGTTAAATTCTTCAGATTTATTGCCGTGCTTGTTTTGTTCTAGGCACTGTGGCTTCAGAGATTATACAGTCCCCACTCCCAAGAAGCTCCCGGCCTGGTGCAGATGGCACACACCGAGCACGAAGAACAGTCCATAGCGTTCATCTGGCATTTACTTTGTGCCTGGCCCTGTTCTAAATTCTTTACAGAGATACGCTAATTTAAATCTTGCTACAACCCTATAAGGTAGATACTATTATTATTCCCAATTCTATAAATGAGGAAACCGAGACACAGAGAGATTAGGTAACTTTAGCAAAGTCACACGGGGAGAAAATGGCAGAAGTAGATTTTTGAACCCAGGTAGTTTTGAAGTCCCTCTCCTAAGCTTATTGGCTCTCTAGTCTGAGGGTTAGAACCAAAGACTCCAAGAGATAATAAGGTGGAAGGGCATTCTATGCATTTGGATCAACAAAACCAACAAAGGAGGCTAAGAATTAAAGCCCTACTTGCCCTGGTGTGCTAGTGGTTAAGATTCAGGGCTTTCACACTGAGGCTGGGTTCCTTTCCTGGTCAGGGAACCACACCACTGTCTGTCGGTTGTCATACTGTGGTGGCTGGGTGTTGCTGTGACGCTGAAAGCTATGCCACTGGGATTTCAAATACCAGCAGGGTCACCCATGGTGGACAGGGTTCAGTGAAGCTTCCAGACTAAGACAGACTAGGAAGAAGGACCTGGCCACCCACTTGGAAAAAATTGGCCATGAAAACTCTATGAATAGCAGCAGCCCCAGGAGAGGAGAGGATGGGGCAAAAAGACGGGGCAAGGTTCCCTCTGCAGTATAGATGGTGGCTAGATGTTGGAAGCGACTCCAGGGCACTAACAACAAAAACTTGTAGTGAGGGAATTATGAAAAATTGTTTGTTTAACGATGTAGTAAAAAATAATAAAAACTACCATTTGTGGGCCGGCTCCATGGCTTAGCGGTTAAGTGCGCGCGCTCTGATGCTGGCGGCCCGGGTTTGGATCCCGGGCGCGCCCCAAGGCACCACTTCTCCGTCCAGCGCGAGGCCGAGTCCCACGTACAGCAACTAGAAGGATGTGAACCTATGACATACAACTATCTGCTGGGGCTTTGGGGGGAAAAAAATGAATAAATAAAATCTTAAAAAAAAAACAAAAAAAAAACTACCATTTGTTGAGTATCAGGCATTGAACCAAGTGCTTGGTTACATCACCTCTTTTATCTTGAAGGCAACTCTAGAAGGTGCTATTATTATCAGAATTTGCAGCACAGGAAACTGAAGCTTAGAAAGGTTACGTGATTTACCCGAGGCCACATGAGCAAAAAGTGTCATAACTGGGACTCGGTCAGCACTGGCCTCAGCCCTTACGTACCTCACCTCTGGGCAGGGCTGAGTCTCGAGGGACATGCTTCAGGTATTGGGGCATAATTTAGCAGCTAGTTGGGAATTAATGAAAGTGTTTGAGGGAGACTGACATGGTGATATGATCCATCTTCTGAAAAGATAGCTCTGCAGTTTCCATTAAAAAACAAGAATTAGAAGAGAGAAGTTAAAATCCTGTAGGGGGACTCTGTAGAGTCTCTGCCATTTGGAGTTCAAAAGTGAGAACTAATTAGAAGTGGAATTGGGGGAACTGTGGCAGTTATAGGCTGTTCCAGGTCAGATTTCAGTCCTTGGTCTTGCCCTTTCACCTTAGTGGGTTCTCC